CTACGGTGGTTACGGCGGCGGCGGCTACAATGCCTACGGAGGCGGCGGAGGCGGTTCGTCCTACGGTGGAAGCGACTACGGTAACGGCTTCGGCGGCTTCGGCAGCTACAGCCAGCACCAGTCCTCCTACGGGCCCATGAAGAGTGGCGGCGGCGGCGGCGGCGGCGGCAGCAGCTGGGGCGGTCGCAGTAACAGTGGACCTTACAGAGGTGGCTATGGCGGTGGGGGTGGTTATGGAGGCAGTTCCTTCTAGAAAAATTTTAATGTCCGGGTTGACTTTAGGGGTAGCTGTTTTCAACAACCCTAGGGTCAACTCCTGAGTTCCTTTCCCTCCCACCGCCTTCCCCATTTGCCCTTGGGGGAGCCGCTTCTAAGGCTGCTTACCCTTAGGGGTACTGTCCTATTTGCCTGCCACCTCTCGTCTCTCCCTCTGAAGATGGACTCTGCCCCACATACACATTTTTGTGTTAGTTATTGATGGACTCTATTTTTTTATTATTACTTGGACCTTGGTCGTTTTTATACTAGCAAAATGTCTTGTTTTAATTTGTGTTTTTTGGGGGGGAGGGAGTGAACTTGCTGATTCTGTAGCAAAACCTGGGTGGGGGTTGGGGTGGGGGGTTAGTTTACTTTGTTGTAAGGACTTGATACCTGGCTACAGCGTTTTCTATGAAATCTACTTGGATCCCATGCCTGAAATTTGGAAGCATATGTACAAAAATCATTTTTACGTTTTATTTTTAATAAATCATTGTGTTTGACCGTACATGTCTAACATTTTTTTTTTCTAGGATCCATTCCGTACCGTTTTAAGGGATATTAGTTGAAAAATTTTCGTGTTAATTCTTAATTTTGATGTGTACTTAGACAAACTTTTAAAAGGTCCTGTGGTTTTTATTTTTTTCTGTTGCCCTGCTAGTGACGTGTTGAATTTTATCCCTTTACAGGTAAAACTTTTGAAATGGTAGATGGGCTTTTTAAAATCTTCAAAATTTCTGTGCATCCATCTCTTGTACTTAAAGGGTTTGCTTATCATCTTGACATGATTGGTTACTTCTTTCTATGAGAATTTACTTCAAAGTATGTACTGTGCAGTTCTAAAATATTTTGTGTTAAGCATGTGTTTTCATTCATATAAACTGTTTAAAAATTTTCAGATGGCCTAGTTTCATCCCTCTTATTGGTTTGTCTGTAATGAATGGTTACAATAAGGGTTATATTTTACCCTCTAAATGCATTTTTGTATTTTTAGAGCAGGTTTAAACGTTTTTTTCCTATAGCTGCTGGCCTCATGGAAATCCTTCTCCCAATGTTTGTAGCGCCATCTACTGGCAGGATGGCATTATATGGGCAAAACAATTTGTTTAAAAACTTGAGTTTAGGACAATTGCATCAAATTTAGAAGTTTTGCCATCAAAAATCTGTGCAGACTTGGTTACACATTTACTTGTAACTAAGGTGGGCTTTACAGGAATGTAGTTATGAGTCCATATCACAATTGCCCTTTTTACATGAGATTTGAAAATGTAAATTGTTATGCATAGCTTGGGCAATGGCCCCAAATTGCTATGACAACTAACGAACCAGCAACGTGTACTGGTATCTTAGGTGCAAGTTGTAAAGCAAAATATCTGTATTCTGCTTGGTTAACAAATGTATATTTGTAGCCCTTTCATGCAATAGATTTCAAGTTGTTGTTTATAAAAAACAAAACACAACGATATAGGAGAAAATTACCTTCCTGGATAGAAATATAGAATAGCAACGTTTATGGATATAACAAATAAAGAATTCAATTCTTTACACGATTGAGTGAGAGTATGTATAACCTGGTGGGTGGGTTCAGAGTACCTGTAAATCTAGTACATTTAATTTAATGTTAGAAAATATTTGGCTTCAATCTTGCTGTCTAAAGCTGTGCTAAGAAGCTTTCTGAAGGAGATTATTGGACTTAAAAGGATATTTTAACATCTGACCCCTTTTCTCTTTTAGTTCTTGTCACTATATATTTTTTTAAGATGCTTGCCAAATTTTTTCCCTTTAATTATCAGGGCTCTACTCTCAAGGGGAAGAAAGGTCAAGATTGCTAAGCTAGGTTATGGCTGCTCAGTTGTCACTTTGACAAAGGGTAGCTGATGCTTGGTACAAATAAGTGTACATTCTGTGGCAAATGGGATAGATGTTTTGCACATAGAGTAAACACAAGGTCTTTTGCTCTCAAATGGTTCTATAGTTTCCTTAAATTTGTTTTATTTTTCACTTTTAGTGAAACCCTACATGTGGGCTTTATTTAGTATTTTGGTCCAATGTTTTGGAGTTCTGTAGGGTACAGAGAATGATACACTTAAATTTTTTGTTATAATTGTCACTGTTTGTCTTTACTCAGTTTTAGTGGAAGATCTATTTTTTTCTGGGAATAGACCACCTTTTGGAGGGTTTTCGAAGTGACAAGGTTGTTGTCATTTTGAATTCCAACATAGTGACTTCTAAAAAGTTGAATTATGTAAAAGTAACTCCTGTTTGCTAGAAAAGTGACTTAGTGTCCTGTTTAAGGTATATTAATACTTAGCTATATTGTCATGTATGTACCTTTACAAATTTCTGTAATTTGGACTGGTATTTACTCTATTCAGAATTCCTCTTGTCAGTTTTTATGCAAGCATTTTTGGCGTGTGGGACTTTTATTGGGAGAGGGGGCAACCAGTTGTATGTTTTGATTTTTTTTTCATTTATGAATACAATTTTTCTCCCTATTGTGAAGAACTTTTGCATATACGTACAGTAATTTTAGTATAAATTCAGTGGTAATCAGTTAAAAGTGGCTTAAAAGGTCTTTAAAAATTGGTAGTAACTTAAAATTTTAAGTTTGCAAGTGGTAATTATTCATAGTGGTAACTATCAAATTAGAATGATAATGGATTGTTTCCTATAAATTAGTGATTTTTGGAATATAGATTTCATATTTAAATGTAGTTCACCATACATTTTTGTTTTTAAGCAAGGTTAAAAGATTGAGGATACTTGAGAATTTGGTATTTATGATTATTTCTCTCAAGACCAGAAGTGACAGTGTTAGTTACTTGATTTGTAGCCTTATTTAACTGCTAAATTTTCAGAAATTTAAGAATTTGCATTTAACGTCAAATATTGTATGCCTGTGTTTTTGCTGATTGAAAATGGGTGTTTGGATGTTGGGTTGATTTGAACAGAACTGCATCTAGACATTATGCATATTACCCAAAAAGACAACATTTGCACTTAGGGTAAGTCTCTTCCATTTTAACCAATTTTCTGAGTCAGTGAAGATTTTGATCTCTGGGGAAAAATTGCTTCTATTTTCGTTTCAAAAGGCCCTATTTTGTTTTCTTCTAAAACAGCAACAAAGATCACCTCTAAACCAAGGGAAGACAATGCTTTTTTTGCTTTTTCCTAGTGTTTTACTATAGGTTAATTTAATGTGCCTTTGTCTCATACTTTTTATTAAAAGTGGATATACAAAAAATAGTACATTTTTTTTTCAATTAAGTCCCTTGAAATAATAAAGCTAAGAAACATACTTTCTGCTATGTGCTATAAAAGTGTTGCATAACATTTGAATTATACTTTAAGTCACAGAAAATATCAGTATTACAAGGAAATAAGAAATTCGAAAATCTTATTGAATCTTGGGGCTCTGGTGTATTTTTAAAAATAACTTAGAATTAACTGCTTATAAACCAAACTAAAGAAGTGAATAAAAATTCTACCTATGTGAGCAAACCTACTTCTCAAGGATAATTTTTGTTAATAGCTATATATATATTCAGCTAGATCTTTTTTAAAATCTCACCTAAGGATGTGCTTTTATTTTTTAGAGAGGAAGGGAGAGAGAAAAACATCAATTGTCCCGTACACACCCCAGCAGGGCATTGAACCCACAACTTAGGTGTGTGTCCTGACTAGGAATTGAACCAGCAACCAGCCACCTGGCCAGGGCCAGCTAGATATTTTTGTGTGCACTTAGGTTAATTTTAAAAAAATAAGTTTATATAGTTGTCCAGTTTATGTGTATTCTCCCATATATGTCTGTATACTGTTTCATAATATAGCTATACCACAACTTAGAACATCCTTTGTTGATGAATATGAGTTTTCTTCCATTGCCATTAGGAATAATGCAGTGATTATCATCAAATATATACTTGGTTGATGAAATAGCTACCTCAGAGTTAAATGTGCTAGATAATGCAGCAGTTGTCTGGTGTATTTTTTAGTTCTCAGTATACATAGGAAAAGGTACATACTCATTGGTGGCTTTTTTAAAGCTTTAGGGTAAATTCAATTAAAACATTTTACTGAAAATTGTCAAAGCTAGATTATATATGATAATACAGTTAATGACTTCCCTTTTTGTATTCTCTAATAGTTTGACTGCAGAGATACTTGCCAGTTTTTCCATATGATGTCTACACATATGACTTAGATAGCATTATTTATGGTGTTGGCTATTATGCTTTGCACTGTTAAGTACTTTGCATGCATCGTTTCATTTATCTTAGTTCTCAATAATTCTATGATGAGATCCTAATGTCTATATCTTGCATAGTAGCTACAGGCTTACCTAATTGAAATAATTTGTGTAAGATCATGTAGCTATTGAGAACAAGAAATGGGCATTTTTTTTTGCTTGTATTTAAAAGGCACATTGTATATAGAGCATCAGCCTGCGGACTCAAGGGTCCCAGGTTCGATTCCGGTCAAGGGCATGTGCCTTGGTTGCGGGCACATCCCCAGTAGGGGGTGTGCAGGAGGCAGCTGATCGATGTTTCTCTCTCATTGATGTTTCTAACTCTCTATCCCTCTCCCTTCCTCTCTGTAAAAAAAAAAATAAAAATCTATTTTTTTTAAAAAAAGGATATAAAAACCTAGAGCACATTAGTGTGCTGAAACTGAGGTTTAGAGAGAGAGGCCATTTTTATCATGTTTTTCTATGTAAACTTTAATATTGAACGTTTTTGCTTGAATCCTAAACGAATTCATGAGATTAATTTTAAAATACTGTTAACAATCTCCACAAAAGACATAATTCAACAAATAAAAATAAAAGGCACATTGTAAGGTAAAAAAACAAACAAAAACCTTTCCTTGTTTTCTCCCAGTACCCTATATTAGGTTATCTCTGGGTACTTCTAGATCTTGCACGAATACTATAATTTATTGATTAACATGTTTCCAGTTTTTCTCATATAATTTAAAACAACTTCTTCAGGTCTTGTTTTGCCATTTATAACATGTCAAAGAGGGGAAAAAGTATAGGAGCCTGGCTAAAGCCATTGTTTATATAGTTGTCCAGCTAGTCCTCTTAAGAAATCTGCTGGGGCCCTGAAAGGATTTGATGGATATTCTACTGTCTTAACATCCCAATTTACTTTGTCATTTTTTCTTCTGAATTTTGTTTTAGTTTCTTATGAGAAAGAAGTGCTTAAAAAATAAGTAATTCATCTCTATTAAAAACAAGGCTGCCCTAGCCGGTTTTGTCAGCCTGCGGACTAAAGGGTCCAGGGTTTGATCCTGTCAAGGGGACGTACCTTGGCTGCAGGCTCCTCCCTGGACCGGGCCCTGGTCAGGGCTCCTGTAGGAGGCAACCAATGGATGTGTTTCTCTCACATTGATGTTTCTCACTGTCTTTCCCTCTCCCATTCTCCCTAAAGATCACTGGAAAAATATACTCGGGTGAGGATTAACAAAAACAAAACCAAAACACCAACCAACCAAACCAAAAAAATA